AGCCGTTCCCCGGAGCAGAGGGCCGGGAGGCAACGATCCAGGGCTGCAAGCCAGCAGCACCCCCCTGGGACCACCATGAGCACCGACCCCTCCGACAGCCGCAAAGACCCCCGCCGAGCTGAGGTGACACGCAGGTCCTGCTGCCGCCCGGGGTCGGGCAGCGTAAACCTCACCGAAGAGTTTATAGCGCTTAAATTTAGGCAGCGAGTTTTGCCAGCGTGACCTTTGCTCAGGCCCAGTTTGGAAACCACCTCGCAGCCAGTAACGCGCGCGGTGCCAGAGGACATCCCATCTCCAGCACTGAGTCACCCTCGGAAAAAATCCCCGGCTCCGTCCCAGCTGAGGCTGAGACACGACCAGGACTTCCAGTTTCAAAACCGACGCCGCGTCGATCAGCTGACGGGGAGGGCTGAGCAATTCCGGGCTGCCGGAAACCCCACGCACAAACCGGAGTCGCCGGAGGAGTTTTGGGGAAGGAAGAAGCTGCCGGGACGTTTTCTGAGGGATGCCACGTGGGACAGGCGGCGTTTTCCCCCCCGACTCTTCCCTTCGGAAGCTCTCAGCCACAGCGCTGGCTCTCCGGTGAGGGGCCAGCGGGACAGAGGCAGCACCGCCCGCCGGGGGCGCGGGGCACCCCAACTCTTCCCTTCGGAAGCTCTCAGCCACAGCGCTGGCTCTCCGATGAGGGGCCAGCGTGACAGAGGCAGCCCAGCTCGGCTGGACCGGGGCCACTCCGCATCCCGACCTCACCGCCAGAGCCGGCACGGCGGCAAGCAGCGGGCAGACAGGTCCCAGCAGATTTGGCAAAGGGAGCTGGAAGGTGAGGCGCAGCTCCACGGCAGCCCCGCTGGAGTGGCGGGGGGGGGGGAAGCTGGGGAGGGGAAGGAAGAGGAAACAACCGCTCGTAACGCACACGGAGGCGGCGAGGAAGCGGTTTCGGGGACTTCGCCTCCGTCCGTGCCAAGTCAGCGATGACACAGGCAAGGATCACGTGCGACATCAGCAGAACAGCCCCGTGCCGCAGGACAGGCGCTTCTTCCCCCTCCGGGTGGGGGAAGCCGTGGGGCAGGAGCTCTCTGCCGTCAGCCCCGGCACAGCGCCGGCAGGGCGA